CGGTGCGTTATCCCACCCTCACACACACCGCCCCTATCCCAGGCCTGCAGAAGCACGCTTGTTAACTTCAGAATCTGAGCTCTCTGACTTGGGTGGGGGGGTGGGGGATGGCAATACACCAACCCCCTGTCAGGCTATACAATGCGCAGCCATTCAAGCGAGGACACAGGCTCCAGCTTAAAGGTGCAGTTCTCCATCTGAGCTCACAAGAAAAAAATTGTCCACTTTGACTGGAAGTGGGCAATGAAAGTACCCCCCCCCCCACCAGTAAAGAAATAAACTGGCCGGCTCTTGTGTTTGACCCCATCTGAATGGATCTGCTCAAATCTCCCCCCTCCAGAATTTAACATGAGGGGGAAGACCACCCCCTAGTGTTTAGGCAAATGTACTGCAAGCTGGGGCAACTTCAGTATGCCCCCAGTACTTCAGTAACCTGCCAGGATGCTTCCAGTTCAACATCCCATAATGTCAAACCAGGGTTAAATGACAGCACAGAGGAAGCAGTTAAAGGCAGATGTTTCCAGGGCAACCACAATTTCGAAGAGGTTACATGAAGATACTGCATAAGACCCTGCCATGCTTCAGAGAACGAGAGTATAAATGTTTCAGGAATTTGAAGTTTTCAGTCTCCACACTCGAGCATGAGCTCCTGGTGGGTGTCGGGTCTTCAGGAAGGGGGCCCCCCAGTGAGATCACACCCGGCGTGTCAGCATCTCACAGGAGACTCTAGGGCAGGCTTTCCCAGGTCCAATCCTGGAGGGCCAATCTGCAACACAGATTGCAGACACACCTTATTAAGCTCACCAGCTAATTGCCAGCTTTAGTGGGTGTGTCTGAACAGGGAGACTCTTTGGCTAGAACTGGGGAACCCTGCTGTCAGGGTTCGAGCTTTAGCGAGTTAATAACATTCACCAAGTTCTTGCTTTAGAATATGCCATCCGGGGACCCCCCCCGGCCTATAAAGTGGGTAAATAGACAAGTGGGTATATTATTCCGGAGTAAAGGCCCACGGGTGAGGGTTTGGTTTCAACATTCGTAGGGACAAAATCAGCCCCGAATCCCCCGACCCCCTAAACACGCACGGCGCTCCGACCATATCGGTAGGAACAGTCCCTGCTGTCCATACCCAAATCTACGCCTTTGGCAAGGCCTGCGCAAGCTTCTGGGTGAATCTGAGGAGCGTCAAGATTCAAGGATTTATCTGCAATACACACAGGTACATATAATTAACCAATAATGGTGGGAGGGGATGATAAAAACAAAGGATAAATAGAATTAAAATAAATAAATGTAAATGTCTCCTATATAAAGACAGTGTGCAAAATAGCATTACAGTGAGCAGTACAGCACGCAGTGTGCAGTGGGAGACATAAACAATTAATTGACACTGGCAAAGTGATTGCGAGGGAGCTGCGAGTGCATAGAACCCCCCGACCCACATGGCATGCTGCTGTTCATGGCCTGGCATCCTTATTTAACTCAGGCACGCAGTAGGTGCTTGTATGCCGATTAATAACGGAGGCCTTACACATCTGTGGAGGAGCGGCTGGTCTAAAGCCGCAGTGTGGGTTTTTAGGGAATGAGTCAGTCGCAAGCCGACAGACAACAGCAATTAGTGACTGATTCACATCCATAAAACCTCGTCTGACAATTGGCTGTGCAGATAATGGCACGGATATCACCCGGTTTGTAGAAAACAGCACCCCCTGCTGGCATGGATATGTGAGATGCCCCACCGCCCTGACCATGACTGGGATTTGAACTAAAATCCATCTGGCCACCTGCACAGTGAGGCCCTGTAAGACTGCAGCCAAACCCAATTGCTGCTCTCCTTCTAGAAGAATTCTGTAGCCACCCCCAGGCCTTCAACCTTTACTGATAAAATTAGTTGACGATGCTGTTTCTGTAAAAGTGCCTTCAGCTCAGGGCCGCTCTGGTGGGGGATGGATGGCGTCACATAAAGCCAAGCTCTTCCAAGTTTTTAAAATAGTTTCAGCTGTATCTTTTCTCAAAATAGAACTCAAGCAGTCATGCTACAGAAAAGTTGCGCAATTTGCCTCAAACTGTAATTACCGCAGAGTGTTGTTATGACTTCTGTGTCTGGGCTAATCTCCTATATCTATGCTCAAGTACTTACATGTGTGTGCTTGTGCACATCTATATATAAATATCTATACGTACCTAAAGACAAATTGCTTAACATCGGGAAATGCAATGCTAATTGTGCTGCGACCCTCAACAATGCGCCGCCGGTAATTATGACCTGTCAGTCACACACCATGGGGTGGAGTCAATGCTATGCCTACGACTCCCTGACTGATTAAAGATTGACAGGAGCTCGCGGGACGCCCCAGTGGATTATGGGAGGTGGAGGGGCAGTGGTTGGTTAACAGTGATTCTGAAGACTATAGAGCCAATTTAAAGGCACTTGGAGGACGTCGGAACATTTTCAGAACGTTTTCAGAAAGATATAAAAGTCCGCCTTTGTGATCACGTGATTTCTGCTCCTCACCGACCTAATTTGGACGCCATACTGGGAGGTTCGTGATTTTTATGACACTGGAGACATTGACAAAGCTTGTCACTGTGTCTTCCAATCGCAGGTGTTCCCTCTGGTCCTCGGAACGTCATCTCCGTTGTGAATGAGACCTCGGTGGTCCTGGAGTGGAACCCGCCGCGAGAGACGGGGGCCCGCGAGGACGTGGTCTACAACGTGCTGTGCCGCAAGTGCCGCTCTGACCGGCGGGCGTGCTCGCCATGCGACGACAATGTGGAGTTCGTGCCGCGGCAGCTGGGCCTCAGTGACACGCGCGTGTTCATCAGCAACCTGTGGGCTCACACGCCCTACATGTTTGAGATCCAAGCTGTCAACGGCGTGACCAGCAAGAGCCCTTACCCTGCCCAGCACGTCACCGTCAACATTACCACCAACCAAGCCGGTCAGTAGCCCCTTCAGAACACTCACAGACAAATACACTACCCACAATGCATCAGTCACCTGATGCACTGCCTGTAACCAATCAGCATTTCTCACACAGTCCTTACTGTTATACAAGCCTCTTTAATTTCCACATATCATTCTCACATATCAATAAAACTCCTTTTCATAACACCCTTTAGTAAATCTTATACACTCTGCCCACCCACCCAGTCAAATAAAACCAGCAGATTAATGTAAACTGTTAACTGTCCTGACCTTTGACTCTATCTCTGCAGTAATTATATAAACACATTGCCTTTGATAACATGCCTGCTTAAATATTGCTATTCGGGTCTTCCAGGAATAAATCTTTTATGTGTGAATGAGTAGTGTCATAGACCACTGTAAAAGTTCAACAATGACTACGTGTTGAGGATCCAAGCAGGACTGAAGACGAGCATCTTTCACTTCACTAAAGAATGATGGAGTCAAGAGGGTTTGTGATACTCCGAGTCCAGTCACTGAGGGAAGCAGCATCACATGAGCCCTGAAAGGAGTCTTTTCTCACTGCTCCGCCTCCAGAACCTCACTTCCTGCTTTAGCTCACTTCTTGGTGTAAGTCACTTCCTGCTTTAGCTCACTCCCTGGTGTAAGTCACTTCCTGCTTTAGCTCACTTCCTGGTGTAAGTCACTTCCTGGTTTAGCTCACTTCCTGGTGTAAGTCACTTCCTGCTTTAGCTCACTTCCTGGTGTAAGTCACTTCCTGGTTTAGCTCACTTCCTGGTGTAAGTCACTTCCTGGTTTAGCTCACTTCCTGGTGTAGGTCACTTCCTAGTGTAGCTCACTTCCCAGTGTACCTCACTTCCTAGTGTAGGGCTGAATCTCAATATGCATACTTGCCTGTACTTTGCCGTACGTGTTCTCGTGTACCCATTTTACATAATCTTCTATTGCCCAAGACCAGGTCCAATACTAAGATCATGAGAATAAAGGATGGTAAAAATCCCTGGATGTTAGTTTTGCTCCACCCCAAATATCAAGGATGCATTGGGTGCATCCTTGCCAAATGAGAACAATCCCATGATGCTTTGCGTGCTGTTGCAATGGCGGAGGAAGAAGGTGCAAACCATAACTGTACAACCTTAATCGAAATTACCTTAATTGGAGTTTGTTAATTCGAGATCGTTCTTGGAAGGTAAGTTTGCAAGACCGGTCTTGCCAAGACCACAAGTACGGTCTTTGCATTTTTGGTATTGAGATTCACCCAAGGCCCACTTCTTGGTGTAGCTCACTTCCAGGTACAGCTTATTTCCTAGTGTAGCTCACTTCCAGGTACAGCTTATTTCCTAGTGTAGCTCACTTCCAGGTACAGCTTATTTCCTGGTGTAGCTCACTTCCAGGTACAGCTTATTTCCTAGTGTAGCTTAGCTGAAGGTGTAGCTCACTTCCTGTACGCTACACAGCAGTTAGCAAAGCCCATCATGTGGCCACCTTCACCTTCAAGCCCCCCTGTGTGTTTCCAGAAGGCCACAGCCACCCCTCACCATGGAGGAATTGGAGCTGCGACAGACAGGTTGTAGTTTCAAGGCCTGAAGTAAAGTGCTGAGGACAGTGAAAATGAGAAGGATTATGACAACGAGGGTGATGGAAACGACTGGGTTGGCCGTACTCTTACTTACAAATGCTTTGTCTTTGGGCTTTTAGTAGAGGACTTATCTTCTGGGTGCTGAAGGCAGTCTCAGAATAGAACAGGGGGTTGGGGGGCTGGGGGGGTTCAGCTGATGGAGGACAGAAGTAGAGACCAATCACACAGTGTTCTTAGTAAGAAGTCCAGTTATCTGTGTGGATATCTTTGTGGATCTCTAGCTGTTTCTATCTGTTCTACTGATCCCCAGATAGCCAGGATGCCTGCCTTGCCCCCACCCCACGATTGATCTTAGATGTGTGTCCCAATAGTACAGGCTGGCCCAAGGAACCAGAGGGGGACACTACTGGAATAGAGCTTGTACCAGGACACTGGCTATTTTTACACTTCATCCACGTTTGGGATGCCGGATGTGGTCTAAAGGCAACACTGAGATGGGGGCAAGTTACTTGTATCGCAGTAAATAAGCATATACACTGTTTCATGAGGATGTTATAGGAAGGTAGTTATAGGAATACTGTTTCACACTGGGCCCCTCCAGTACACAGTACAGTATAAAAACACTCCTCTCTACATCGACAGGGTCGGGTTGGGTTCTGGGACACAGGAGAGCTGGGTTCAAACAAAGCGCCTGTTGTCTTTTGGGGAAAAAAATGGCAACATGGGAATGGGTCCCAGCCCAAGGAGACTGGGGTAAAATGTGAAAAAGACAGGCTAAGGAGACCCCATAAATCGAATGTGATGACAATGCTATTACCCCTGTGTGAAGCACTAACCTGCAAGCTTAAACTGCCAGGGGGCAGAATTCCTGCATTTCAAAAGCGCCCTTGTACGGATCTGTCCCCTCCCACTCCAAGTCTGGGAGAACAGGACTGCCACTCACTTTAATATGCATTCATGAGCCCCCGAATGGTGCAGCCTCACATTTTATATATATGCCCGGTAGTCGGAGGGCATTTTGTGTGATGCCGATCTGCCAGCTTGGATTGAGTGGGAAATCGGCACTGGGCCGTTTACCTCCACCACCCACCACCAGGAAACAGCAGTACTAGCGAGAAGGCAAAGGTCAGGCATGGCGCTCACTGTAGCCGAGAAATCCTGGCAGGGAAGCTGGAGATCTATAAGATCCTCTATAAGCTCCTGTTTTCCTTCCCAAAAGTGTGTGTGTGTGTGTGGGTTTGCATACATCACATTTGAGGACCAAATTGTCCCCAAAGTATAGTAAACCCTGAAATTTCCCTACTTTTGGGGACATCTTTTGAGGTCCTCATTTGGATAACCTCAGTTTTATAAAAATATGTGAATGCAATCAAAAAAGTAAAAATGCCAAAAGTCTTGCATTTGTGTTGGTTACTTGCGGTTAAGGTTAGGGATGGGTAGAGGTTAAGGGTGCCGTGATTGGGATTAGGGTTTTTCCCAAAGGAATGAATGGATGGTCACTGTTCAGATAGGTACACCAACATGCGAGTGTGTGTGTGTGTGTTCCCACTAATGAGAAGTCTCCTATTTTTTGTTACCGGCTTTGTTCTGAAGGTGGCATGGCTGTACAGTGGTCAGCACTGTTGTCTCACACCTTTGGGACCAGGGTTTGAGTCTCTGACATGGCTCTAAGTGTTTGGTGTTTGCATGTCATCATGGGGATTTCTCCAGGTGCTCTGGTTCCCCTGCCCCCCCTCACCATCCAAAACCATGCGAAGGTTAATTAGAGTTGCCCAACTGTACATGGTGAGTATACCCTGTGATGGGTTGGTGCTCCATCCTGGGTTGTTCCCTGCCTTGTGCTCTGAAGAAGGACAAGTGGGTTCAGAAGATGGATGGTTTTGTTATTGTATCCAAGAGCTTCCTACTTTCTGTAGTGTCATTCACATTTTTTTTGGGGAACTGCTTCCTGTTAATTGGTAAGCAGCTTCCCATTTTTTTTTTATGGAGACACTTCCTGTTCTCCAGTGCACAGCTTCCTGTTCTGTAGCTAAGGCTTCACTAAACTGGGGGAACTGCTTCCTGTTGTTTGATAGGCAGCTTCCTTTTCTGTACTGAGCAGCTTTGTGTTTACACACTTCCTGTTCTCTGGTGGTCAGCTTCCTTTTCTGTAGTGAGCAGCTTTGTGTTTACACACTTCCTGTTCTCTGGTGGTCAGCTTCCTTTTCTGTAGTGAGCAGCTTTGTGTTTACCCACTTCCTGTTCTCTGGTGGTCAGCTTCCTTTTCTGTAGTGAGCAGCTTTGTGTTTACCCACTTCCTGTTCTCTGGTGGTCAGCTTCCTTCCCTTTGTTGAGTTCTTACTTCCTCCATGATAAACAGTTTGCTTCTTGCCAATACACCGATCCTGGCCTCACATAATTGTTTATTCTTTCTGTGTTTCTTCAGTGTAAGAAATCGGCAGTTCTTTGTGTCTATTCAATGTGAAGTAATGTGTGATTCATGATAAAGACGCACCCTTGCTGAAAATTCAAATCAAAACCAGCCATTTGAAATAAACAAGTAATACAAATAAGAATTTTAAATGTACGAACAGGATTTAACTCAGAAGACAGGATTTTCTAGCATTTAAATGAACAATGTCATGAGCTTTTCTGTCTCCAGTAAAGTGTGACTAATCCCCCCTATTCTATGCATGTAAACAACAATTTTTTAATCCAGTTTCTACTTTTTCTGGACCACATCTCCTGCTGACTTGGAACGAATAGCACATTAATCTGCAAAGCCAAGAATTGCTTCACTTTTGGAATTCTTAAAACACACACTTCTGGGATAGATGCTGAACATCACAATTTACATGACGACCACGGCCTCTGTTTTGGCTCAGTGAGACACTGAGAGGTTCGAGATAAGTGACATGTTGAGCAAGGGGAGCGATAACATAAATGATTGTGGAGGCATATTTTATAGCGTCAAATTAGTCTGGGTGAAGGGTTGTCAACCTTGCTTAATTGTAATGGTCATGTGTCAATGTCTATCGCGGGGATGTATCTGCGGTATGTTTTCATTAGCCCAAAACAGGAAGTGAGATACAAACAGCTGTATGTGTGCCTCAGTCGCTAAGCTATTTAGCTTTTGAACAGATGCTCGTATCTGGAGCAACATCTTAAAGATTTTAATTTTGTACTAGGTATTTTTTATAATGCAAGTGCTTCATACAATGTTACAAACAGGGAGATCAGTCTTTAACCACAACACCATCTGCCTCTTGACTGAGATTGGTCTTTCGTATCCCAGTGTTATGGACCCTTGATGTACAGTTGTACATCAATGTGCCAGGACTTTCCTTGCCGGTGCCAGGCACTGGACGCCGTGATATTTGTAGATGTGTGGAGTAGCTTTGCAATGGAGCATTCTGCCGCCATGTGTCCTTATTGCCCTGTCAGGTTGCCGCATT